ACAAAGGCGTGAGTCTCACGGGATGACGGCCCTTGATTTGGAACTCACGCGGATGTTTCATCCTATCTCAAACTTAGCCGGCTATTAACACTGTCTCTCCAGACCTGACCTGAGATGAATCTGTACAGGATCGTCACCTCTCTTCTATGATGGCTTGGTAGTGGATGGTCCTCACTGTCGCCAGCAAACACTTACGGGCAGATCTAGCCAATGCATGTGTTATTTGAGGTCAAGGATTTCCTCTCCCCTTTTTCCAGTTGGGATTCAAAGTTTCAGTGGAATCTATCTGGCCAACCCTAGTCCTTGACTACCATATTTAATAACGAGTTGAAGGGCGTCTTTCCGAACAGTGTGTGACTTTCCTCAGAGGGAGATAGCGTTCCACGGCCTTACAGCAAGTCCAACATCCCTCATCACATGAATCCAGTACCTACTCTTGCCTTTCGGCCACACTGTTAGGCAGGCTTGGAATCAGGCTCGCTCCGTGGTTGGAACATGGTGACAAGTCTCATATCGACAAGGGAAAATATGAACGTAGCTGCTGCATCCCTTCAAAGGGTGGCGGAAGCAGGGGCAAATGAAGCTCAAGATCCACCACGACTGGACACTCCCTCTTCCAGAGGCCCTTGTATTATCAAACACCCATACATTGGCGGTGAGCTACTCGCGTTTCTGGCGTAATTGGATTTATTTCTTGGGGGTCCATACCTCACCACATCTGCGGAACATGTTTTCCGGCTCCTCGTAGCTCCTGCCTCAGGACGATGTGCCTGGTTCTCGGCGGTTTACTTTTCGACCCGGGAATTACCTAGGCTTTTAAGCCAAACTGCTCCATGGTTATTTAGTCATATCATAATGCAGCAACAGTGATAATTTTGGTGATTTCATGTGCTCTCCACCATATGGCGTAATTTGCATCACGGACAGCAGCGGTTTTCACCATAGGTCTTTATACTAGCTGGGCAAGAATTACACAAATATTTATTTTTAACTAATCCTGCACTACTTACTTCCTGCACTTATTGCTTACGATACGAAACGTTGCTGTGCCAGACGATTGATGTTGAAAGGGTAGACCACTTCCTGGTCTCTGGTAAACATCCGTCTGCGCACGCATCACTGGAAGGTGACATCAGCCACCTCAGATTATTGCTTTTCGCACTCCTCGCAAGACGTGTGGTTTGCCAGCTTGACTGATTTGTATCCTATGAATTGGGTGTCTTTTGGGTGTTTTCCTTTGTTTTTCAGCGCCTGTACGGCTACCAGCTGTATGGCGCCTCTACTAGATCTAGCGCCTGTATGGCGTTACCAGCTGTATGACGCCTCTGCTAGATCTAGCACCTATAAACCCATACTCACTGCAGCAGGCAGATACTGCGATGGAACAGTGTTGGACTCTGAATACTGTGTTCCAGCGGTGGTTTTGCCAGATTCAGCGCCTCTATGACGCCTCCATTATATCCCGTGCCTCTGGTGTTCAACATACTGCGTCACCACCTCCAACATCTTCAAGGGTTCGGCAGCTGTTGGTTGCACCACTGTTTCCGATGGCCCCTACGTCGGGAGACGAGAACATATTGCCCTCGGAGACTTCACGTATTATGGCGCCTAGACCGGGCGTGGCGTTTACGCAATCCCTTGTCAAGAAATTAAGTGCATGACAGTTTTCTTCGTACAGTGCGTCTTACAAGGCGTGAGTCTCACGGGATGATGGCCCTTGATTTGGAACTCACGCGGATGTTTCATCCTATCTCAAACTTAGCTCCGGCTATTAACACTGTCTCTCCAGACCTGACCTGAGATGAATCTGTACAGGATCGTCACCTCTCTTCTATGATGGCTTGGTAGTGGATGGTCCTCACTGTCCTTGGCAAACACTTACGGGCAGATTTCGCCACTGCATGTGTTATTTGAGGTCAAGGATTTCTCTCCCCTTTTTCCGGTTGGGATTCAAAGTTTCAGTGGAATCTATCTGGCCAACCCTAGTCCTTGACTACCATATTTAATAACGAGTTGAAGGACGTCTTTCGAACAGTGTGCGACTTTCCTCAGAGGGAGATAGTGTTCACGGCCTTACAGCAAGTCCAACATCCCTCATCACATGAATCCAGTACCTACTCTTGCCTCGGCGCCACACTGTTAGGCAGGCTTGGAATCAGGCTCCGCTCCGTGGTTGGAGACGTGGTCACAAGTCTCATATCGACAAGGGAGGATATGAACGTAGCTGCGTCTCCTTCAAGGGTGACGGAAGCAGGGGCAAATGAAGCTCAAGATCCACACGACTGGACACTCCCTCTTCCAGAGGCCCTTGTATTATCCAAACACCCGAAACAGGCGTTTCAGGAGGGACATGGCTGCCACTTCTGTTAGTGGCAATTCGTTTTAGCAGTCCTTATTGACAGGAGTTACCGTCCATGCGTACCCAAGCTGCAGTTTTGACCACCGGCCAGGACTCTCAACATGGTCCTGGACCGCCAACTCGTTGTGTCTTACAAGTCACTCACAAACACTTCTCTTGCAGACTTGCACAGCGATAGCGACAAGGGTCATGCGTTTGGTGTGCTTGGTGTTAATTGGATCCAGTTCGAACGACGCAGTCAGGTTCTGTACCTCTGGGTATTTTACGGGGATTTCATCACTACCCACCCGTTGCCAGCTAGGGCAAAATGATCGACGATTCTCGATTTCGCCCAGATCGTCTGTTGTCAGTGTGAAGACATTCCTGTGTTCCTCTTGTGTTCAGCTGGGGTACTCAATTTGTACATTAAGCGAACTTGAGCCGTCAGAGGCATGTAAGCAAAACCCCGAGTGTTTTGTGGATACGGACTTCCTTTATTCATGCGTATAATGTGGCTGGTCTGGTTTCCCTACATCTATGCTTCGTAACCTCCAGTACTTCCGCTTTTCGCCTCTCTACTATGGCTTCACTGTAACTGTACAGTGGCATTGATAATGCAAGAGTGTTTCTAGAAGTGGGACACAGTCTTCGCCAATCAGTATCCACACCATATGTGTCCAACGCTTCGGACCATTGGTGCCAGACCAGCACCTCAACAATGCCCGAAGGATATCACATCCTACATTGTTGTTCACAATGAAGCACGACGATGTCGTGTGGGGAATGAGTTGTTTTGAGCAAAACAACTGGGTATGTCAGTTAAGGAGTAAAACTTGGATAGACTCAGGTCCATGCTTCTTACTGCATTCCCTAAAGCTAATAACGCTTTAAAAATCGTGTGGCCTTTTCCATTTAAGCGTAAATGGCTTATATGCGAATTACCACTGAGATGTAATCCCTCTCTGTCGACCAGTCTTCCAGATTCCACGAAGGTGTCTTCATTCTTGATATTTCTTCCCACGAGGCATGATGTCGCCGTGTGGGAAAAGAGTTGTTCCGAGGGAAACAACTAGATGTGTCAGTTAAGGAGCAACACTTCGAAAAACTCAAGTCAATGCTCTTTACTGCATTTCCCTAGAGCTAATCTTGCTTTAAAAATCGCCTGATCTTTTCCATTTAAGCCTACATGTCTTATATGTGAATTACCACTGAGAGATAGTCACTGTCTGTTGACTCTTCTGCTAGGTGCAATGAGGATACCTTCCACTATGCTTTTTCTTCCCATGAAGCACGCCGACGACGTATGGGAAAAGAGGTGTGTCAGTTAAGGAGTAATGCTTGGGTTAACCCAAGTCACTGCTTTTTACTACATTTCCCTAAAGCGAATAACGCTTTAAAAATCGTCTGGTATTTTCCATGTAAGACTATGTGTCTTATATACGTATTACCACTGCCTGATCGTCACTCGCTGTCCGCTGTGATGCGTGCGCAGACGGATGTTTACCCGAGACCAGGAAGGGATCACGGTCCACGCTTTCAACATCAATCGTCTGGCACAGCTATGTTTCGAGTTGTAAGCAATAAGTGCAGGAAGTAAGTAGTGCAGGATAAGTATACAAATATAAAAAATATTTAGATTTTTCTAAATTTCTATTCAGTTTATTATGTACAAGTACACTTGAATTTTTGTAAATACTCAATAAATGTGATCTTACATGCGTACACACAAATATGTCAAATCTTAGCTTGCGTACTTGTGAATAGATTAAAAAACTGAAGTATACTGAGAGGTTCTATTTCAGGATATGAACTTGACAACTTGCAGTCTTTCTTATCGTTTCTCATATTGCAGATCAAATATAAATAACAAAAATTAACTTTTAAACTTCACTATATTTTCAAATTTAATGGAAAATGGCAAAATACCCAATTGAATTTGAGTGAGGTGAGTACAATTTATTTGGTTACTCAAAGAAAAATTAGGATACCCAATTGAGATGAACACAAGTGAGTACATAACTCAATGACCCAAAAAGTTATCTGTAGCTCTGGCAATGTGTCAGGACATCAGTCTCTTTCACTGCCAACTGTATTTTCTTCTTGTGTTGTGAAAATTTGAATTGTCAAGGGCTATTAGACTACTCCTGTAATGATTCATTCACATGTTATATTTGATGAATCGAACTATATCCCTTCATGAATTCAATTCATTATTATAATAAATATTATTTCAAGTTGGAAATTCCTTCACCTTATTGCAGTCTATATAAGGAAACTGATGTTGCTACTCAATTCTTCATGCATCAATATCCCAGGGTACAATAACGCTCCTCTGAACAGGTTGATGAGCCCTGCAACACCTGGGTTCGATTCCCCACATGGGTACAATGTGTGAAACCCATTGCTGGAATATTGCTAAAAGCGGCGTAAAACCATACTCGATATAATGTAGCATTAGATCCCTTGTGCAAGTGGACCCCAATGTCCCCAGTACTCCATTGCTTTTGTTGCAAGAGCTGATTGAAATGGGTGATTAGGCCAGGCTTGAAATATTCAGTGCCTCTGTGTCAGTGGTTGATCCCTGCTGGTTGGTTCAGACTCCCAATATTTATGGGCTGTATAAATCGACTGGAATGTCTACATTTGTGTTTCTGTCTTTCAGTTCAGTCCAAGTTGAGTACACCAGAGGCCAAGACAAAACGCCAGTGGGAACAATGGATGGAAGAAGACATCAAGACCTTCTTTGATGCCTTGTTTGAGGTAAGTAACTCAGGCCAGTTTACTCCATTGCTCCTAGTTCCCTAGGTATTAAATGTGAAACATAGACCACAAATCCAGGTGAAAAAACCCAAATACAGCACATGCCTGTGCACAAATATTTGCGCAACTTAATCTGTATAATTTTAGCTTCTTTTTGATAGTTGTCTCTCCAAATGCTCACAACAAATAATTGTGTTCAAAATCAGGGTTTCAATCTTTGAATACTCACTCACTTCAGTGCTTCAGTTCTTTTGTCCATCATGACCATGCTGGGACAATGATTTCTTAACAACAATGAAATAGATTTGTCATAGTCAACCTGTTTAAGTTTGTCATGGATTAGGTAGTCAGATACTTACACTGGTGTAGATGTTTTTGTTTGTAATGGATCAGGCAGTCAGATGCTTATACTGGAAAATGTGATAAATGTTTGCTCAACCAATCAGGTAGTCAGATGCTATACTGGTGTCATCGTGACCTGTTTGTAATGGATCGGGTAGTCAGATGCTTATACTGGTGTCATCGTAACCTGTTTGTAATGGATCGGGTAGTCAGATGCTTATACTGGTGTCATCGTGACCTGTTTGTCATGGATCGGGTAGTCAGATGCTTATACTGGGTGGCATCATAACCTGCTTGTCATGGATCAGGTAGTCATATGCTTATACTGGTGGCATTGTGACCTGTTTTTAATCAGATTGGGTAGTCAGATGCTTATACTGTTGTCATTGTCACCTGTTTGTAATGGTATCGGGCTTATAGTCAGATGCTTATATCTGGGTGTCATCCATTTATTGGGTGACTACCTGTTTGTAATGGATTGCATGGTCAGATGCATATACTGGGTGTCATCGTGACCTGTGTGTCATGGATCGGATTGTCAGATGCATATACTGGGTGTTATCGTAACCTGGGTGTCATGGATCGAATTGTCAGATGCTTATATTGGGTGTCATCATAACCTGTACGTCATGGATCGGATTGTCAGATGCATATATCTACTGGGTGTCATCATAACCTGTGTGTCTTGGATCGGATTGTCAGATGCATATATTGGGTGTCATCATAACCTGTGCATCATGGATCGGATTGTCATCATAAAGGCCTGGATCGGATTGTCAGATCATCTACTGCGTCATGGATGTGGATTGATCAGATGCAGATGCATATATTGGGTGTCATCATAACCTGTGCATCATGGATTGGATTGTCAGATGCATATATATACTGGGTGTCATCATAACCTGTCGTCATGGATGGGATTGTCAGATGCATATATATACTGGGTGTCATCATAACTGTGTCGCCATAACCTGTGTGTCATGGATCGGATTGTTAGATGCATATATTGGGTGTCATCATAACCTATGTGTCATGGATCGGATTGTCAGATGCATATATATATACTGGGTGTCGTCATATCCTGTGTGTCTTGGATCGGATTGTTAGATGCATATATCTACTGGCTGTCATCATAACCTGTGTGTCTTGGATCGGATTGTAAGATGCATATATTGGGTGTCATCATAACCTCTGCGTCATGTATCGGATTGCTAGATGCATATATTGGATGTCATCATAACCTGTGCATCATGGATCGGATTGTCAGATGCATATATATATTTACTGGGTGTCATAACCTGTGCATCATGGATCGGATTGTCAGATGCATATATATATACTGGGTGTCATTATAACCTGTGTGTCTTTGATCGGATTGTTAGATGCATATATCTACTGGCTGTCATCATAACCCGTGTGTCTTGGATCGGATTGTCAGATGCATATATTGGGTGTCATGTATCGGATTGCTAGATGCATATACTGGGTGGCATCATAACCTGTGCGTCATGGATTGGATTGTCAGATGCATATATCTACTGGGTGTCATCGTAACCTGTGTGTCTTGGATCAGATTGTCACATACATATATTAGGTGTCATCATAACCTGTTTGTAATGGATCACATGGTCTGATCCGTTTATTGAGTGTTATCATAACCTGTGTAATGGGTGGGGTGGTCAGATACATATACTGTGTGTTTTATCGTAACCTTTGTGTAATGGATCATACAGAAAGAAACCAGTAATATTTTAACAGTCTGAGTCAGCACATGGTTCAGATCAATATGAACACTGGATATTGATAAGCAAATTTGTATATCACACTGTACCAGATGTGTCCAGTTTGACTTTCAATGTTGAATTATTTTGTTTATTTAAAAATCAACAAAAGAACGCTAAAATATGGTACTTGTTGGTCCGGTATAGTGGAAAACTTATCTGGTCGGGAAGTGATTTTTACATGTGCCACTGTACGCATGGTATCTCAGTGGGCTACACTATAAAACCAGCAATTTTAAAGTTATTTCCACCCGATGCACGCTTGACAGAAAGAAACCAGTAATATTGTAACAATGTGTATTCAAGCATTAAGTAATAACATAAAGTGACCATCTCTTTCAGCATGGCAAAGGACTTACAGGAGATGCCATCCACAGTGTGCCATCCACAGCGTACTTGCACAGCGATGCAAGAAACGGGGTGTCCACCCATCTCTCATCAAGAACAAGAACCAAGTTCGATTTTTCTACTATCGTACATGCCATAAGATCAGCAAATTCATTCAGACCACAAATGGTATGTTCATGTTGTCATTCATATCACAAATACTATTTCATGACTTGGTTGATGTTGCAATGTATGTTGTTTGAGATTACACTTTTTCAGTAAGTTACTTTTTTTTGTTGAGTCCCATTGGGGATTTGAACCCACAGTCTCAGAGTGAGGCACATAATTGCTAACACACAAAGTTAGCGATCTAACCCACCAGCCATTGCAGCTTGGTAGAAGCCACGCAGACTGAATGGGTTTGATTGCTGAAAGTGGAAGTGTAATTCCAGAATTAACATACATTCCATGCGGCCACTACCTAAACGGCATTGAGTGTTCATGGTTGATATTTCCTAGTAATACAAGTGATGAATGCTACAAGTAGATTTCCTCAAATCAGGATGTGTTTGGGTTTGGAAACTGTTGAACCTTTCTTGGATTAATTTCGAATGTGTCGCTGCTTTTTAGCTATTTAAATATAATGCAATATGACCTTGATTTGACAGGTTTTCATTACCCCTGGTATGTTTTAGTTGCTAATCAAAATAATAATTACATTCTGACTGGGCTGTCATTCATATGACACTGATGATTCCCTACTCTCTTCTAGGCTAGATTGTGTACAGAATACTGTGTTATAGCTGGGATATTGCTGTCCATGCTGCCTTTTGCCCTTCTGTTTAGTCTGATCAAAATTCTTTTGTGTTGCAGATGTGAAGAAAGATACTCAGGAGTTGTATGCTCTCATCAATTACGGCATTCTTAGAGAAACCATTAAGAGCCGTAAGTCAATTACTTTGATAGCACTTTGCATTGAATTTTTAACTGCTACAGAAATACACTGTATTGTGTTTACAGCTATCTTTCACTCACTGTGACATATATTATATCATTTTTTTATTCCTAAACTGTGAACTAGAAGTTCTTCCAATGGAATGGTTACTGACCATAGCTTCAAAAGGAATATGACCTGTGAAGATCCGGGTTTGAATTGGTCTTCAGCAACCCATGTTGTTGTAAGAGTCGACTAATGGGATCAGATGGCCCATGCTCACTGGCTTGGTTGAGACATGTCATTGTATCCCAGTTGCATAGATCAATGCTCATGCTGTTGATCACGGGGTTGTCTGGTCCAGACTCAATTATTTAGAGACTGTAGCCATATCAATGTACCTGGAACCGATTCGAGAAATTAGTCCAGTCCTTCACAGAACTTTATATCGCTTCGATCACGGATGGTGGTGGTTTGACGGCGGGTGTGTCTCGTCTTCATCATCAGGCGAGTCGTCATTGTGACAGGTCCTTGGACCAAGCAATGACTTCGATGATGTCGGCATCAGATGAAGGGGCACATGTTTCAATGTTGTCGCCGACACTTACATAGTCGGCCAAAAGTCACATCACCGGTACACAGACATGTAATCTGGCTAGGGGATGTCATCTTCATCGTCAGATTCACATGGGCGTTAAGGAGATGCGGCTTCTGTTAGAGCGTAATCCAGCGTGGTAGTAGCAGTTGGAGATTGTTACTGGCTTTACTTTCTGCCAAGCATGTCGTAATATCGCGATGGCATCAAGCACTGTGATACACATTGTTTACTGTCGTTGATGGCTTCTATGTAACGGTCAAGAGCTGCATTCCTGTAGTGGACCTTCAGATTATTGATGACACCTTGGTCATTGGCTGCGTTTTTAGAAGTTGTGTTAGGTGGAAGGAACACAAGAGTAATGTTTGTGAGACCTGTGACTGTCGGGTGAGCAGGGCAGTTGTCTAAAATGAGAGCAATATTCTTCTTCCGTCTAATCATTTGTTTATCTAATGATTTTACCCAATCACTAAAATAAACCAGGCGTCATCCAGGCAGACTTGTTGTTACAATATGAAGTCGGCAGAGATTTGACGTTCTTAAAACAGCAGCTTAACGAATTTCCTATCACTAATAGGGGCACCTTATCAGTTCCAGTCTGATTAGCACAGACAAGCACAGTTAAAGCGTTCCTTTGATTTTACCACCGTGACATTCTTGACACCTCTGAACTCAAGAGTTTTGTTAGGCAAAAGACGGTAGAACATTGCTGTCTCATCAGCATTGTAAATCGCAATCTGGCTCAAACTTCTGTAACACTTGTTGTAAGGATTTTGCCCAGTCATTCATAGCTTGGAGAATCATTATCTACAGATTTTGATTCCCCACAAACAACTTTGAAAAGAATGTCATTTCTCTCTTTAAACCCGATTCAGCCATCCGGGTACTGGCAACAAAAATCTGTTATACCAAGTTGTGTTGCTAGTTCTATTGTTTTTCGGCATAGACATGGACCATTAATTGGGACATTTTGGTCCCAGCTATCTTGAACCATTTGATAGTAGTAAGCCTCAAGTTCAGGAAACTTAGCCTCCTTTAACCTACAACGCTTTTGCACCTGACTGTAACATGGATTCTTTAATCTTATCTGCCATTTTCAACCAGAGTAGAAAGAGTGTTAGGGCTGAATTTCAAACTCTCAGCTTAATTTCACTCTTGGATTTGGTACCTGCCTCCACTGCAGTGATGGCTGCAAACTTCTTGTCAATAGTGTGCACTTTTAGAATCGCGCTTCCGTTTTGGAGTTGATGTTTCGATCGGTTTATCCCCAGATTGCTGGGAACATTGTAATCCTAGCTGGAATATTGCTGAGTGCGGTGTTAAACAACAAACCAGGGACCAAATCAAAAGGAATAAACATTTGTGGCCTTGTTATTGTTATGCTGAATGAGCGACCTATTCAGTTGTGTCAAATAGAGGCATGTTATAGTGATATGAAATGCTGAGTCGCGGCGTTAAACAGCAAAGATAATTAAGCATATTTGGGTATTCTCATGAATCGTTAAGCTGTGCTGATCTTACCTGGATGGGTTTTTGCTGGTTCAACCTGTATGGATTCAGGGTTAGAATTCAGTACCTAGGCTTGTTGTCTAGGTGACTGTTGAACTTGCCTGTCAGCGTTCCCCGACAATGGGAATCAAATCAACCACTGGGTTGTCTGGTCCAGTCTTTAATATTTATAGAGCTGGACTATTGCTGAGTGTGGCATTAAACAACAAACATATCATTTACTTAGGTATGTTAGGTCTTTCCTTGAAGGTCACATAACAGAATCTGAATGTACTTAGGAAGGCTGTATCTTCATCATGTTTAACATTGTCATTTTGGGGTGTCTGTTTGTAAATGAGAGTTTCATCAAAGGAATATATGTTTTCTTGATGGGGATGGTTTTACATTGAGATTTTGAAGAGCTAAAGCAAATAAAGCCAAACTGTTTTGGAAAGGCTACAATTTGATTGGCTGCAGAACCCACTCGTTCATCAATTAGATTGGGCAGGCCATTTGTTGATCATAGTTTAGCTGACTCAACCTTCTATGACAGTGTTGTCTATCTTCACAGGGAGAAAATGATCTGATATTAAGTGTGAAGACAATGGACAGTACTAATTAGTCTTCCTCTGTTGTCCACAAATTATGTTAAGGATGTTAGTTCTTGTGTGACCCATTGACAGTGTTGAGATATCATTGACTTGGATGTCTGTGGCCAGCTTGGCTAGTTTTAATAGTGATAAACCTCAAACATTATATTGTAAATTTTGAATTCATTAAACATGACTAACATGCAGATGTTTTTCTGATGATAAATTTGTATTTTATTTATGAATGGAACAAAGTCAGAAAATAATGATTCCTGTCACAATATTAGTTGAAAAGTAAGATTATACTGTTTAGACCAGTTAATAAAGCATTGTGCCACTTGCATTACAGGTCTAAATGAGAAGACAGCTCTAAAGCTTTATGAGCTTATACACAAAGGGTAAGTACACTGCCAGACAGATGTTTATAATTTAATTTGTTTATTGTTGTCAATGTAAATATTTCATTCCTAACTTGATTTTGCCTGACAGCAGTGCTGCTTAGTAGTCCAAGGGAGACAACTCTTGTTTCAGAAAATACAATGCCAAGACATTTGTGGTTGTCAAGCACTACAGTAGGACACATTCATAGCTGATATGTATGTTTAAATGAAGAATCTGGAACATTAGTGAAGTGTTTCATATTTGTTACCAGAGATACAGGAAATACCTTTTCACTGATATTTTCCTCTGTACAAAGATGAGAGTGATAGTTCAAGATGTATACCAGATTATCTGCCCCTGTCTGACCCTAATGAATTTGCTGTTGGATGAAAGGTCCACAACTTAATCATTAAGTAAATTTTATTTTATTACATTTGATAAACACATTTCTGTTATTATTTTGATGCAATTTAGATATAAGAGGGTCATTTTAATCATGATTTGATGATAAGCAATTTGTTCCATTTCTTCCGAGAAATTCTTTGATTTACATTTTATTAATTTTTGGCCACTGGTAAGGTAGGGATATATTTACTCCTGAAGGTCAATAGTATCTAAACATAGATCTGATGTCATTGGAGAGAAAGAGTGACAATTGAGGTGTTACTGTTTGTCAGAAACACAATTCGACGGCAGAGATTAATAAGTTACAGAGAGAATTTTACTTACCAAGTGATAGGTATTGGTGTATCTGTGCCCATGGATCACTTGTACTGTGGGAAACTGTCTATGGAGTGTGTAGATCAGCCTGAATTTCGTCCGTTTGCCTGTTTCAGGTAGGTTGAGACTGGAATGTTAATCCAGTGGGTGGTCATGTTTGATGATGGATATAGTCGGCTGTTAGCTGTTCATAGTATGCTACTCAGTGATAGTAGTCAGCTCTGTCAACCTGTGGGTGGGGATGCATTCTCTAAATGTTTGGGTTTTGTTGTTTTATTGGTGTTCAGTTATCTAATGTTGGTGAATATTATCAGTAAAAATATTGATGACAGGGCATATTTACTTCAGGGGAGACAACTCTGGTTCATGTATGTCTGTAAAATTACTAATTATAATGCTTAATTTGTGCCATTTCTAAAATATACTGGGAGATATATTTAGTGAATTTGAAATTATAAATTTCAGTATATCACATTGCCACATTTTATTTTTAATGTAAATGTGGCATATTTTTGTTCTACTTAAAGAAAATTATTTTTGTAGTTTTGTTTGACTTTTTTACACATGAGTTTTATTTACTTCATATAATTTGTTGTACATCATGATAGTCAAATGAGAAAAAATATTTGGGGATTTCTTTACCATTTTTATTTTTGGTTGACAAACATTTTTATTACAAGTTTGACTGCTGGGACTCATGGGATCATTAACAAGGGAGGTTACTCTTCTTTGACTATGTGGCACTTGATTTTTCACTGCCATGTATGAGTTTGACAGAGTTTTTTCATGATATTTTCACATATATCTGAGTTTTTGTTTTATTTCTTTTCAGTGTGACAAATGTTAGAATCAAAGGAAAGAACAAAAAGTAAGTTTACAGTTTATATAAACACATTTTGATGCCTTTTATGGTTTTCTCTTATTTTGGGACTGCCTCCGTGGTGTAGTAGGTTAGTGTCTCCTCCTGGAAAGCGGAAGGTCACGGGTTCAATCCCCAACCTCGTCATACGAAAAGACATTAATATGGTACTTGTTGGTCCCTGCCTGGCATGGTTTAGTCTCTATCCGCCTACATCTCAATTCGCCTTCATCCCATTTCACATACAAAAACAATGTAGGCTAATTGGGTTTAGAAAATGCACCCCTACTCTTAAAATGAACCTGACTCCCCGGTCAGTGCCATACTAAGTTTGATCAACTGTTGTTATAAGGATATGTAGTTGAGTTAAGAGGATTAGTGCATCCACTAAGAAGTTAAGACAGGGTTAAAATATAATGAAAGGGATTAATACACAAGTTAAATTGTAAAAGCAGTGATGAGATGTAGTTAATTTCCTCGACGTGGCTGGTCACCTTATCAAGTTGAAGTGAGAATGGACATCCGCACAAGTAAACTTCCTTACACTAATGTGATATGTTGCGATATGATGTGAATATCATTGTGATTGAAAATGACAAATAACAGAATAAATAAATAACAGACAAATAACTGAAATCAATTCTCTGTCCTTTTGTCTTTTTGTCCTTCAACTACTTCAGCTAGAAGAGTCCACTTTTAGATCATAGGGGTGCAACTAATTTACCATTGCGTAATCAACAGTCAACAGACCATAAAATGTTGTTTTAAGAATGTAGGCGAATTGGAATGTAGGCGAAATGAGAACATGCCCCTGGTGCTCGGCATTAATGGGTACAACAAGGACTGGTCGGCTCGGAGTCAGTATAAAGTGTCTGTGTGGGTATTCATGCTTCACTGCGGCATGGTATCTCACTGGGCTAGCACTATGAAACCAACTTAAGTCTGGGCTAGTACAAGCCACCACACATACACACGCATGCATATCGTTATATGAGCGAAATATTCTCAAGCACGATGTTAAACCCAATTTCATTTCACCGCACCATTTATTTTGGACATATTCTCCTATTTTGGAGGTATGTCGTTACAAATCTGTTATGACATCCCAGAAGTGTTCTTGATATTACTGTTCATTACATTCCTCTATTTTACAGGATTCGGACACCAGCATGTAATGCTTTGAAAAAATTGAACAACTGTGATGGTATGTATAGCTTTTTTAATGTTATGGTTCATCTTTCTATGTTAAGTCTTATTTATGATGTAATAAACAAGGGTTCAAATATTGATCAGATTGATTGATGCCCTCAGTACCATGGAGTTGTTGAAGATACTTTAAAAGATGTTCCATCAGGATTTTGAATAGAAATATAGGTCCCCATCAACCAATGCTAGTTGTATGTGGCGAATAAAGGGATTGGGTGGTCAGTCTCAGTTAATTGGATTATTCATGAAATACAAGTAATTTTTACTCAGCTTACACATAAGCTATGACAACAGGAATTTTAAAATTTTCATTTTGGAATTCAGACAGGGGCAGATATTTAGCCCCTGAACTGGTTTAGATAACAGGGTCCGCTAATTATGGGATGAAAGCCCAAAGTGATGGCGCCACATACAGACCGCCTCCATATAGCTGGAGTATTGCTGAGTGAGGCGTTAAACTAAACTCACTCACTACAAGCCTGAGTGATCATTAGAGTACAGTTATAGGAAGTTAAGGATTCTGTTGAAAATATGAAGTCTTTCAGTATTTAGTCTGACCAATCAGGCTTTCACTTTGTTACCAGGAAAATATTTCACTTTCAGAACCGAAAGAAGAGCCACCCTTGCAGCCAGTTCCAGATAAGATCACAGTGGAGCTGGTTCCAAGAACCAATGATGCATGGGCACATGTCCAGTCTGTAGCCCACAACCCAAGGGTCCGGTTCAAGCTGGCTGGGGATCGAAGTGTTGGATCCATTGTTGGATATCTCACACGCAAGTGGAAGGAGCACAGAGCCAAACTTGTATCCTTACAGTGTTCTGATTGATGAGTCTGTGAAGTGGAAACACACCCATTACATGTGAATGGGTAGAGGATTGTGTCAGAAACTGTAGGGTCCAGGAATCCTTTTTGTTTAGAATAAGGCACGGACATTGTGCTGTGTTGTTTGTGCAGGGCTTCGGATTGACAGGAAAACCTGTTGGTACCTACCCTTTGGTATGTGTATTTAGTTTGGGTAGTATCATTGTCAATGTGTCTGCTCGTCATGCCGAAGATAGGGTTAGATTCCCTTTATGAATACAATGTGTGAAACCCATTCCTGGTGTCCCCGACCGTGATGTTGCTGGAATATATCTAAAAGCGATGTAAAACCATACTCGCTCTCTTTAAGGCAAACTGGGATTATTTCTAGGTAAGCCTTATCAGACTCACAAAATCATAAGATGTGCTCCTGTTTTCACCCACAAAGAGGTGGGACCCCACAAAAACAAGAAGAGCCAACAGAATGTCTAACTATGTTCCCATGGGGTTTACAGAACAGGTCACTGCTGTATCATATGCAGGTGAAACCCACCACCTACTTTCAGATTCAAGAAATTGGTATGAATCATGATGCGGACAAATATGTCTATATTTGTAAAAAATATCACTTTATAGCATACTTGTCCTGACTTCTGTGATGAAGTACCAGGTACAGGGCTCTGTTACGCCTGTGCAGAACATAGGTGCATTTTGGTGAGATGGTTTTCTATTCTTTTGGAACAAAGTTTCCTTTGCAGTCAGGGGGAAAAAAGAGACAGGCTTTTACTGTGATATTTATGGAGTTAGATCTCCATTTTTGAACCACAGAACAGATTGAAATTTGTTAAGAGAAAAAAAATAAATTAACCCTATACTTGCCTTTGTTTGCCACAATTTCTGTGGCTACCAAATCATGATGTGATTCGGAGGAACATACATTATCACAGGTTGATTTGATTTCGTTAGAAATGATGTGTTCAACCTTGACTGTGATCAGAAAGAGTCTGTGAGCAGCACGGAGGAGGTGCAGATGAAGATGCTGACAGTGTTTCCCCCTGCAGACATCACTCTCAAGCCTGTCCACGTCACTCCCTACACTGCACCTAAAGTAGATGTCACCTTCGCTAGCTATAAAGAAAACATCATGGGTAAGTGAACTTGCATCAGTGTTCCCCTTAGTCTTTGTTATTGATTGAATGTTGATGTTTATGCCACTGTGAACACCATACAGTTATTTTGTGGTTAGATATTAAATTTTCCTCTTCACTCAAAGGTCATCAACGCAGAGATACCTTTGTCTGTCCTGAATTGACTGCGTCATACCAAAAGACGTTAAAATATGGTATTTGTTGGTCCCTGCCTGGCGCTCGGCATTAATGGGTACAACAAGGACTGGTCGGCTCGGAGTCAGTATAATGTGTCTGAGTGGGGTATCCATGCTTCACTGCGGCATGGTATTTTAGTGGGCTAGCACTATAAAACCAGCTTTAGTCTGGGCTAGTACAAGCAGCCGCACATACATATACATACACGCATGCACGTCGTCATATGAGCGAAATATTCTCAAGCACGACGTTAAACCCAATTTCACCTCACCTCACCTCACCTGAATTGACTGGCCTCATATTAGCAGCAGACACATGTTGATTTATCATGTATCATGTAGAACCATGTATTACAGTACAGTCTGTAAATAATAAGTTATATTGAGAAGGCTTGTCGATGACATGAACAGTTAGCTGCCTCTTCAAGGTACAATGTCTTGTCCCCAAGTCAAATATCCAGTTTTCTTGGTTCTTTTAAAGGGGGTGGGGACCTGTCCTACCCTGGAATACCCAAAGGACAGTTATTAGCATGTTGTCATGTCCTCAGATCTCATATATTGTAGCCACCATATCCCCATTTCCATTGGATCCTACAAAGATCATGGGATTCTTGGGACCAATTGAACCTTGGGATATCCAAGGATATTGATGCTAATGTTCATGTTCATAGCATGAAAAATGGTCCACCTCACGGGTTATGGTCATGTCCTCAAGTAATACATATTGTAAACACTATGTCCCCAGCTCTGTTGGGTCTTCAGAAGGTCATAAGGTACTGGGGACCTATTCTTCTGTTGGTGACATGATTTCTTATGTTTGTTGGTTCTGTTTTATCTCAGGCTCCCCCAGCACATCAGGCAGCAAAACCTCCAAGAAATCCAACTCGGTGGAAGAAACAGTGAAGCTGAACAGCGACAATTCCTCCGAGGCTGAAGCTGCATCCAGCACACCACCTAAACTTGCCAAAGTTACATCTGAATCTAAACCTGTAGAAGTCAAGGAGGACCCCTCCCATCCAGTAAGCTCCACCCCTGAGATCAGTCTGTTGATCGGGGATGACAATGCTATATTTCCGGACAAACCTCTGTTCTATGACCTCGACCCACTGCCGTCGAGTAAACTGTCCCTTTCTGCCCCCTCCATGTCTGTCCACACAGAACATCGGACCGACGGGGTGCAGAAGCACGTGGAGGGAGGCGGCAACGACAACGCCAACCATGCCACATGCAAGAACAGTGATGCTGGGAACGCGAGTGTTGACAGTCAGGACAGTGAGGACGCGTCCAAGGAGATAGTGGCCATGGCCAAGACGGGGTGGACTGTTGAAAGTGGTCGGACCATCACCCTGGCCCAGTTGTACCTGATGTGTGGGCAGGAGGAGACTGTGAAGCTGGAGTATGAGTGGTGTGAAACCAAAACCAAGGAAAACACGCACTACACTTCAACTCTCACCAACATGCTGCGACGCTTGGCTCATATTGCTACAGTCGAGTTCAGGGATCCTTCGAGAGTTAAGCCAGTAAGTCTTTTCAATTCAGTGGTTCGATTGCTGTATATTTTTCAGATTAAATTCATGGATAAATATAACACACTTGTAACAACCTGATGGATATGGCATCTTTGTGGGCCTGTCTGTCCTTTGTCAATGACAATGTTTGTGTGTATGATGAACAGTTAATCTTGGAGCTGCTCTTGTGTCACCTTTGAGCTTATCAAAGTTCCATGAATGAAATGTATATTTTCATAATAATATGTTTATAACATGCATTAATTACATTATGTATGAGAAGAATATACTTAGTACATATGATAAAAGGCACACCTTTCTTATCCATGATTCAAGTGATGTGTTAACATGACATGATCCTAGATGTGTGACAGTGAAAGCCTAATGAATTACGGTTATAACAATAGTGTGTGAAGTAGCCACTGGCCCACTAGCCCGTGGCAAGTAAAAATCCAGTCAGGCCAGTAAATCTCCACAATTGGGCCAGTAAATCTCCACAATCACTGGCCTGACTGGCTAGTGAATTGTCATGGGGTCATTTCTTAAATATATCTCTCTCCGATTTGTTAAGTTATAATACACTTTTAAATCATGCAAGATTATGGCCTGCTTGTTTGAACATTTTGCCACAATTGTTGAGACATTATTATCCCCGCCATGAAGTGGGAGGGGGATATTGGTTTGAGCTCCGTCCATGCATTCGTCCGAGATGATGGGGACAGATTTTCTCAAAAACCGTTACAGATAAGAAAACCAAATTTGGTATGTGTTTTCAGGACATTCCTTGATGAGTTCGAAAACGGAAACCGTGTTACAATTGTTACTGAGTTGTGATTTGGAGTGAAATCCCCGACAGATTTACAATTTGTTACAGAGTTGTGGCCCTTGTCATGCGTTTCTTGACTTAAACCTTTAGACTCGGGAATAATATGAGATAGTACAGAGTATCCCCAATGGGGACAGATTTTCTCAGAAACCGTTATAGACAGGGAAACCAAATCTAGTATGTGTTTTCAGGGCATGAATGTATAGTGGTGGAGTTAAAACACGGGAACCAAATTGGAACAGAACACTGTGGCGGGGGATATTGATGACCATGTCTTCTTGTTTCTTCTTTATTATCAGCATCAGTAGTAGTATTTCTACAAGGCCTTTAGACTCAGGGAATAATATGAGATAGTATACTGGATTAGTTGTTCACCAAATTCTTTTCTGGATTCGTTGATATTGACCGTAATAGCATACTGGATTAGTAAAAAAAATATAAGTAATGGCATTACTGGATTAGATACATATGTTTAAATGGCATTCTTGATGGCAGCCTGTACAACAGAAATAGCATGTGGATTTGTTGAATGTGTAGAAATATATCCAGTGTTTATGATAGAAATGGCATGCTGCAACTTTCAGACCACCGACTCCATGGCCAGAAAGAGTGTGTTGTGTTCTGTGTGTGGCGCGGTGGCGGAGAGGTCGAAGAAGGAGAAGTCACGGAGTGCCAAGTCAAAATTAGGGAAGGATGACCGGTTTCAGGTGGAAGATAACAGGCAAGGAAGTGATAGGTGCAGTGCAGCGAGAGGGGAGAAGAGTTTTGCCGACTCTGAGGGTCAAGACGAGGCTGTGAAGGCTGAAATGTTGGGCACCCAAATCAAGCATCCGACACAGCAGATAGTGATGTCTAAACCAGTAAGTCTTTATATGTTTATATTCGGGGTGTCGCGATACGCGAATGTATCGATGCATCGATACATTTTTACTGACGATACGATACGCGATACATGCTTGCGTGTATCGATTCCTATTTTAAAACTTTATCGATTCAAATTTTTATGCTATATCCATCTCCTTCAAAGTCTTGCTGGTAAAATTATACGAGATCGCTCCGATAAATAGATGTAGCTAGCTTTACTTAAAAAATAGGTTGGAAACTAACAGCTTTTGTGATTGGCAAGACTATTTTGATGGACCAATCAGCGAGCACGTACGTTGCCGGTAAGGTAATGCTATGAAAAGGCGCGAAAATTATGTGTCGCGATACGTATCGTATCCTGACCTTAAAATCGTGATACATATCGTATCGTGAGATTGGTGTATCGTGACACCCCTAGTTTATATGTTTGTGGTTGAGGTTCTGTAGTGTTCGAAGTTTGCTGGCAAGTTTGGCCTGGTAAACGAAAATCTTTTGTTTACTACACGTTGCCTGACCATTTGCTTATAAGATCCATTACATTTCAGTTAATACCCAACTCCAGTGACGGTGTATTCCGCGTGCCTGTTGGGGTCCCCCTCGTCCGCTACCCTCATCCTGGAGTCAACCAGGTCATACAGTCCCTGCAACAGAAGGTCAGTACCGAGGCTTGGCAGGGATTTATCTGTGCCTGCTCAGGGGCAGATAATCAACCAACAGTGAATGCCTATCAGAATTGCCGAATTGGAATTTCCAATTTTTTTGCTATTCCAGTTAACTATGTCTTTAAAAAAGTGGCTTGTATTTCTTTGATCAATTTGAATAAAATATTATTTTTTACCCCAAACATTGAAATTTTTAGTAAGGTTCTAACTTCACACTGAAACAAGAAGTCTGTGATCGAGAAACACTAGATTGAAAATTTCTTTGGCCTTGAAATGTATTTTCTTTGTAAGCAATTAAGTTGCTGGTAATTCTTCAGGACACATTTGCAAGGTTAACAATCTACTAAATGCTTGACCTGTTTAAAAAGATTGAACTAAGGAATCATGAGATCTCTCATTTAGACATAATGGAATCAATAACAGTACAATCTTCAGGTGTGGAGTAACAGTGTGACGCATCTTGTATTAGACTTGTGTAATGCTTGGAAAGTTTAGATGCTACTTCCATGAAGGTACTATTACATCATGATTGGTATCAAGTGTTTATGATGGAAACTTCAGCAGTTCCAAAAGCTTTGCATGATATTTCGACGCTATGTATGGTATTTACCAGAATACTGTCAATATTTAAAGAAGTTTCATTTACTGATTATATATTCCATTTCAGCAATCTAATTTTTTGATGCCAAAGAGAAGAAAAATGGTTCGGCAAAAGCCATTAATAGTGCAAAGAACTTTATTACCAAAAGCTCCAAGTGGACAGATTGTCACAATACTGCCTTCAAATCCGACTCAGCTCACTACAAATATAATCAGCCCTCAAGCCTTGAGTCGAAGTCCACAGGCATTAACACCACAGACCTTTTCACCAGTCAGTCTCAACTCACCAATTAACGATGACAATCGTCCCATGGAAACCCAAGTGATTACTAGTCAGAACATCACCTCTCTTGGTGCAGGTAAACGGATCTGGATTTGTTGTTTATTGAGTTTGTGTTGTGTTTGGATGAAGAGAAGCTTGTCCTGAGTTTGATTTGATCATCAGAAGTGTTGGTAGAGCTATGAATGTGGTTAGTCTTTGGTAAAGTTACAATGCTTGAAGTGGTACAGGTGCTTAGTGAAAGTGTCCTGGGTCCCTATACACACATCTTCGATAGTCTCCAGGGTATACGTTCTGATAATCTCCATTATACCCTGGATGCAGCTATGGCTCGCCCGTGATATTATTACCTACCTTCGCTGGCTTTTTATCCAATCAGGTGTCTACGCTGGGAAGTTGAGCGTACCTATCACAACTCACTTTCGCTTTTTAAATTATCTAACCGATTAAACTTGTCAACACAATAATATATTGTTGCAGATACTCTGAAAGAAGGAGTTCTTGCACATGTTTTAAGGTTTCAGACCTGTCAATTTGTCTGTATGTTTTCCCCCCAAATCTGAGTCTCACTGCGAACAAACTTTTGCGGCTGCGACCACTATCTTTGTTGACACTGGCAAGCTCGGTTGTAACGGCGGCTTATCTGATTGGCTACTGTGAGAATGTGGGGCCACCAAAGGGATGTAATAAAAGCATTGGGCTGAGACGTAGATGCATCCAGGTTATAGTGGAGATTTATCGGAACGTATACCCTAGAGATTATCGAGGATGCTATACACAAAGAGTTCGTAAAGTTACCACCTAACTCTATTCTTTGTCATAGGCTTACGAATGACATAGTGCTTCGAACGTTTTGTGGATAGGACCCCTGATCATATTAACTGATGAGCACTTGGGACTTCTTTTGAAGAGCAGTCTTAGAACTAACTGTTGTAAGCCTGTGCTGATTGGTTGGTTGGTTGGTTGGTGTTTAACGCCGCACCCAGCAATATTCCAGCTTTATGGCGTCTGTTTGTAAATAATCAAGTCTGGGCCAGAAATCGAGTGAGTCATTGAAACTAATTGTTCCTAGAATGCCAAGAAACTGATTTGTTTTTTCCAAGAAAATTATTGTGTTCTTCTGGGAAACTGATAATGGTTTTGTTCCTCTTCTCCCAGGAACAGGCCAGTCCCCTGTGATGTCTACTGGTCAGCCTCTGAATGTCCCCCTCTCGGTCAACACAGACATCACAGCCACTACGGTAGGTGTTCATTTTGTATACAGAGATCCATGCTGCTTTCAGGGAGAAACTTGACAACTGGGGTTGTCTTGTGGAGCTGGTTTTGAGTGTTAAACAGCATTGGTATTATGATCCAATTAGCTGATGTCCAATTAGAGATGTGACAAGGAAGTGGTATGAGGTTGATGTGGATCTGAGTGTTGAATAAATGTGGGTGGTAGACATGGAACAAATGTGTTGGGTAGATGTTGAGCTTTATGTTGGGTAGACAAGTAACTGAAAACTTTGATAGATGTTTAGCCATATTTTGGATAGATGTTGAGCAAAATGAAGGGTAGATGTGAAATATTATGAAGGATAGCTATCATATGAATGATGTGGGAAAGGTATGTTGGATAGACATGGGTGGAGGTGATACATAAAGTAGACAAGATGTATCAGATGGCGATGGAGCTGATATGTTTAGTACACATGGGGATGAAAGTTTGGGCAGACTTTGAACTTATATGTTGGATGGAGGTGGGTCAAGACTAGAGTAAGTGAGTGAGTTTAGTTTTACGCCACTTCTAGCAATATTCCAGCAGTATCACGGCAGGGACACCAGAAATGGGCTTCACACATTGTGGTGAATCGAACCCAGGTCTTCGGCGTGACGAGTGAATGCTTAACCCCACCGCCCAGCTTGAGTAGATGTTGAACTGGCTAGCTATTCTCGAAATGTTCGTAGCCCTATGAACTTCTTAAGCCATTTCTTAACACATGGCCTACGTTTCTTAACACATTGGCTATGAACAAAGTTAAGAATTCTAAAGGGTACGAACGTTTTGAGAATAAGGGCCCAGATGTTTAGGTAGATGTGGAACTGATATGTTGTATCTGTTCTGACTGTACATATCCTGTTTTGTGTTCTGTAGCCGGGGCTGCTGCTCGGTACATCTGCAGGTTCGGCTGTACCAGCATGCTCCACCTCCAGCAGTCAGATGGCTGGCAAGAGGGTTGGCGGGGGCAGCAGTGACCTCAGTATCTCCCCACCCAACCTGTCCTCCCTCCTGGACATGTCGCTCTCCTGTCCCCCTCCAGGTGAGTTCACAAGCCCAGTGGTACACACTTCTGGGTAGCACCTTTTGAAATCTCACTTTATTTGCATCTTACCCAAAACTGTAGGTTGATGGTTGATTTTGAATTTGCTTATCTTATATTTTTGTTTTATGAAATTTTCCATTTTTTTGTGTTTGCCTTGTAATGGTTGTGGTAGAAATGTAATGAGGATCCAAATTTTAGTTCTCTGTTTACCAAGTAAATTAGTAATTAAATTATGATACACAAGTATGATGACATCATAAATCAAGAACAACCTGTGCATTGCTTGAGATGTGTATGTGACGTTGCAGGTAATGTGATGGCTGACAAGCTGCTGGACATGGCACTGGTGAACTCCAATTCCAGCTTCACAGGTACTTCATTGGAATTTATCTCAGATCCTGCTAGGACCCCAGAAACATATTGGTGACCTGCCTATCTCATCATTCACTTACAACGCTGATGTTTTCAGAATGTTTGTGGTGTGATATGTTGGAAAATAGTTGTAGCTCTATGTGAGCATCTCTGTTGAAGCTACCTGTGAAGGTCCGGGTTAGAATGAACCTTCAGTAACGCATGCTTGTCGTAAGAGGCAACTAACGGGATCGGGTGGTCAGGCTCGCTGACTTGGTTGACACATGTCATCGGTTCCCAATTAGCGCAGATCGATGCTCATGCTGTTGATCACTGGATTGTCTGGTGCAGACTCGATTATTTACAGACCACTGCCATATAGCTGGAATATTGCTGAGTGTGGTGTAAAACTAAACTCACTCACTCACTCTGTTGAAGCTGAGGCAAGTCTGTTAACAAGTTGTTACTATCTAGATGTTATTACACTTTCTGATTTGGTTCTGAAAATAATATTGATTCTATCTTTGTTTCAGCCCTGCTGGACTCAGCCTCGCCCAAATGTGGAGGAGGTGATGCTCCAGCATTCCGCTCAGTTGACGAGAGTAGTCGACTGATCACACCCCCCCACAGCCCCAGCCACCTGGGGCCGGGGGCCGACACACAGTGGCTCAATGGAGAGGTCCGTATACCACACACACTTGGGTGGATGCCAGTCAACTTATCATACTAACACAAGCCACTTGGATGTGGGTTTTTGACTGTAGTCAAATTCGATTTACTTCAGTTAAATCCACATGTAACCTAGCTCTGTAATGAAGCAATAGCAAGCTCTCAATTGCAATAAGGGTTTATCTCAGAAATAAAAACAACTGGGAATAACGTGGTTATTCAGAAAAAATCACATGTGACAAATGACCCGTGAAGGTCCGGGTTAGAATGAACCTTCAGTAACCCATGCTTGTCGTAAGAGGCAACTAACGGGATCGGGTGGTCAGGCTCGCTGGCTTGGTTGACACATGTCATCGGTTCCCAATTGTGCAGATAGATGCTCATGCTGTTGATGACTGGATTGTCTGGTCCAGACTAGATTATTTACAGACCACCGCCATATGGCTGGAATATTGCTGAGTGCGGCGTAAAACTAAACTCACTCAAGGGGATCTGTCATCTCAGATACTACAGCTTCTTAAATGCTACTTAAAGATGTACTGAGCAATTTGCTGAGAGATAGTACTAGCGATGTATTGTTCTATTTTTCAGGTGGCTGACATGTCTCTGACCAGCTTCCTCATATCCCCAGCTAAGAAGTCTGACTCACAAACATCACAGCCTCCAACATCCAACGCTCCTCATTTCCCCTCATCCATTTTCAGTGAGAACTCACAGGAGTCCATAGTATCAAAGCTTGATGTGAGTTGTGTTTTTGACTTCCTCTCATGCTTGGTGACACTATCTAGTATTGTGCTATGGCTTTGTTAATGTCAGATTTTAGGGAACCAATGAATAAGACATGGGCAAGAAGCTCAGCATGCCAGAGTGTTTTCTGAGAAAGGTTATGGGTCACATTTATGTGTATGTATTGTGATACAGTGCAGCCTTTGAAATTCATGCTTGTTTGCTTGTCTCAGAGATGACTGAATTGATTTAGGACAAGTAAAGGTTCAATGGTAGCGATTTTGGAGAAAGAATTCTGAATATATTTTTACGGTATACAATTACGCAAGTCACCGGTGATTTATTTGAGTGAGCACTGGAAAAAGCTTTCAGAAGCTTAGCGTGTGATCTTAGTGTGTTAATTGTGTATATTGTGTGTTATTGACGATGAAGTTGCACAAAGTTTTTCTGAATGCATGTCATAGTCCGTATGAAAGTGAAACAAAATGGCAGAGCCGACCACGCGCTCACCCCAAAATTGCACCTTTGGTGCTCAGGCCTGGCTTTCCGTTTAACTTAGATTCAGGGTTGGCTTCTCTGTAGCAGTCTTCATTGACAAGAAGCATTACAAGACTGGAACCCATTATCAGTGCTTTAATTTTTCTGTAAAATGGAACTGAAAGTATATGTAATGGTACTTAGCATTTTTGTATTTGGAGACTTTCAACAGCCAAATGATAAAGTCTTACAACTTTGTTGTGGATATATTATTCAGACTGCTTTTTCTGAGCTCTGTGGCATCTACACTATGAGGTACTCTTTGAGGACTAAGTATTTTCTACAGGGGTATAAATTCAAATTTTCAAAACAAGATGTGAGGGAAATGAAACCAAAATGTTTTGGAAAGCTGATTTCTGATTGGCTTAAGAGTCCATGCATCCATTGTCAAAGGTCAGTGTCAGGTGAGGGATTGTAGGCTGTGACCTTCAATGTTGGTGTCCTTGACACAGGGGATATTGTATTGGAGCAAATAATTTAATTTTTGAGATTATTCCTTGCATGATCAGGGGCGGTGGGGTAGCCTAATGGTTAAAGCGTTGGCTTGTCACGCCGAAGATCGGGATCATGGGTACAATGTGTGAAGCCCATTTCTGGTGTCCCCCGCCGTGATGTTGCTGGAATATTGCTAAAAGAGGCGTAAAACAAAAATCAGTCAGTCAGTCCTTGCATGATCAAACACCTGGATACTTGCATGCCCATTTGCCCACCACCTATAATCTATGAACTCAGTGATATGTTTGTGCTTCCAGGTGGATACGACCCTTCAGGTGATGATGAATGAAAACAGTATGGATTACGTGAGCAAGTTTGAATCTCTGGCAGCACACATCGCAGGTTCATCACTACCAAAGCATAAAGATGCCAAGCATTGATCTGTATAGACCAGGACAACAGCCTTGATCCACCACTTGTACTTCAGTGTCCAGAAGCACACAGTTGACTTGTACACTACCACAGACTCAATACACCCAAGTCATGAGGACTTCGACCCCATACACTGAAGGGCTAGTCATCTCCATTGCTTTACTGATCACAGACAACTGGAAACAGTATTTGTAATTACCCACACTCCTCCATCAGCCAGTACTTGCTTGAGGTCAGATCATGTCACAAATCACCCACATTCTTCTTGGAGTTAAGCCTGATTCAAGACTTCCAACACATGACACATATGGTTAAAATGGAGCTGATTGCATAACTTGGATTTGATTCTTCAAATGCTCATACTGTCATTAGGAATGTTTCAGTCTAGGTTTCTGATTGCAGATCATACACTTCTTTCTTACCTATGAAAACTACTATAAGGTAGATAAATTATTGATAAAAACTTGGATAATCTGACATGAAATTTGTTTTTTTATTATGACTGGTTACCAAAGGTTAGAGGAATATTGCAAAGATTATAATGTGGATGGGGTATTGAGATGCTCTAATGTAATGAGGAGCGGTGGGGTAGCCTAGTGGTTAAAGCGTTGGCTCGTCACGCCGAAGACCCGGGTTCGAATCCCCACATGGGTACATTATGTGAAGCCCATTTCTGGTGTCCCCCGCCGTGATGTTGCTGGAATATTGCTGAAAGCGGCGTAAAACCAAACTCAGTCAGTCAGTCTAGTGTAATGAAAGATGAATCAAGAGGATAGCTGAGCCTCATGGTTTAGGGATGTTTCAGAAGCTGGTTTTCAACACAAAGTGTTGAGCTGGGTTGAGAGTTAATATTCATTTGTCAATATTAATAATCCCCGAAAACATTGTGCTACTTTTTAGTAATGTTTGAACTTAAGAGAACTGAAATCTGCTTAGTTTGAATGGGCCATATGAACAATTTTCTTCTTTATCCTGATCAGTTTAGAATGCCTTCAATTGATATCATTACAGTTTATTCATGGATCCTTAGCCAGTGACAATAACCGGAAATCCTATCACTATGAAAGCAACATGCTCAAGGGATTTGTGTTTCTCAGCACCAATTCTTTCCACCTTTTTTCACTGCCATCATTCTCCATCCGATATTGGGCTTTAAACAAATATTCATGAAGTTCAAGCTTCTCTTCATCAGTCAAACAGCCTTGTTGAAATTACTTAAAGGGGAAAAGGGTTCTTCCGTCCCACAATATTCCACTTAACATTAACAAAAGACTGCTCCATGCGTAGCCAGTGTATTATGTAGGGGAGACGTCACTCGAATCTGCTGATTTCAGAAGTGGTATCAACAAATACTTCCGTTATTGTTGTGTCTACTTCTGGAATCAAGAGACTAGAAGATTTCTCTAACTTGAACCATGGTATGGTTGACATATAATTTCTCTGTATGTTTGCATATCGATTTGTAGTTTTGTCAGTTTTTCAGTTTCTAAATTACATGCTTAGAATGGCCAGTGAATTTCTTCCTCTGAATCAGCTGCAACAAAAATAATGATTTTAGTAGGGATGTCACGATACATAAGTTTCATGAATCAATATGTATCACGATACCCATGTCATGATTCGATACGTATCACGATACCTATTTCCGCGGCATTATTGCGTAAATTTAGTTACATTTTAAATATTAATTTTCATATTTTATAATTGTCCATGAAGAGATCAACATTTTTGATTCTCAGAGATTAAAAGTTCTAATTTCCCATCTTTGTGCATGAAAAATAATCATTTATAACTCTCATAACATAAAAAACATGATACAATTGCAAAATGTAAATGATACATAAACATACTTAAACCGATACTTTCAAAACTAAATATCGATACAGTTTTGAATGTATCGATAATTGTATTGTCTTAGTAAAAAGTATCGATGCATAGATGTATTGATGTATCATTGCATCCCTAGATTTTAGTGCTTCAGGAACTGATCCTTGAATTTGATATAATGGAATCCCTCATTCTTTACTTGGTGTTTCGCTTACAAAAAATAGTTTCTGCTTCCAGGTCAGCTGTTCATGAGAAGTAATAACTTGATAAAAAGAACTTTTGTTACGTGTTTGCACGACATATATTCTTTGTCAATAAGCCAAAATGATGGTGAAGACAAAGAAGGTTTTAAAATGTCATGGTTGAGCTAAATTCCTTGCAAAAGGATGGGACAGGCTCATTTGTTAAAACAATCAAACCAGATTCATGTGTAGAATCCAAGACCATTGTAGAATTGTTTATGCTTCTCAGTAAAAGGCAATAATTTCTTATCAGATTTATGTAATCCAGACATTTACAAGAACATTTGTATCAAAGGTACAAGAAAATTATTTTTGTGTTATGAGTTTGATGTTGAAAACATTTGTACTGACACCATTTTGTTTTTCTGCTTTATACACACATTTGACCAAACAAATCAAATGGGCCACCTCGATACATTGATGTGTCAAAGGCTGTGACATAAGAATCAACTATTTTCATTTTTAGCTTTATTTGTAGTTTTATGTTATTACTTTTTATGTTCTCGGAGAATTTTTAAACATCCAGATCAATAAATATATTAAATCTTATAGAATTCAACGATGTAGCTTCATCCTAAAGGTATATTTATCATCTTCACAGTGGTAGTCATGAACAAAGGCAGGGTTGTGAGCGTGTCAAGGTTATCCTAGTTACTGTCATTGTCTTGAAGGGAAAACATAATGTATTATATTCCAGATAGAAGTGTTGTAGAGCAAAGATTACTTAACATCAGTGCTTGAGATTATGAGAGGACCCAGTACATTGACCATGGTCAGGTGATTAACTGCACTTGTTACAGTTTTAAGGTTTGGATTTTAGAGTTGAGGAACCAGTGGGGTAGCTTAAACACAAAAAGCGTTTGCAGGTGATTAACTCGCCATGCTGGGTTCGATTCCCCACATGGGTACAATTTGTGAAGCCCATTTCTGGTGTCCCCGCTGTGATATTGCTGGAATATTGCTAAAAATGCTGTAAAACCATACTCAGTTTTAGAGTTGAAGACTCATAAGATTTTATGAATTGGGAGGAGCTCAGCATTGGCAACCAGTGGGTATTGATAGCAGCCCTGATGGTTTAATGGGATAACCAACTTAGAGGAATAACGAACCATGTACTTGAAGTGACAGTATTACTGCTTGAAGATCATGGTGTACTCTGCAGTTTGTGTAATTATGAAGGAAGAGAGTTTTATGGATGTTAACTTCTTTATTATGCAGGAACACATTTGAAGTATATCAATGAAGGAGTAAGGATATACTCCGAAATGCCATTCAAAGACCTGTTATTATGAAGATGCAGTATACACACACAAACAACCCCCCAGAACAACACAAACATGCATATATATACTGAATTGTCGCTTCTGTGGGCTAGGAACTGGCATTGAAATCCATAAGCGTTTCCTGTCAATGACGGGTGTGATATATATCTATATATATGTATACAGTAGTTAAGTTAATTATCATGAAATGTTCACTAGAGTGTTCATGTCTGTAAATATGGAACGTTTGTACAAAGTACATGTAACAATATGACCAGATTGTAGCCTGCTGTAGTTGACAGTGAAATCTTGATTTCTCTTGCCGAGATCTCCATGCTTTACCTTGTTTCTCCAAACTGCACACTAGATGTCCACTACATGGTGCTAAGTTGTTCAGATAGTCATCCTCAGTGTCAACAGCCAGGTACGTTTCATGTCACGATGAAGACATCATATGTAACTCCTCATTAGTCGACAGCAGTTCAAAAGTTTCATGTTGAATAAAAGAGGCTTTTTCACGTTTTCGGTTTGGGATTATTAAGTCTGCAAGTTTTCCATTCAGCAATTACAGTGTAACAGATAATAGCTCATGTGATAAATCTAAAATTAAAGACTTCATGTACAACTAAAAGTTCAGTGGGGTGGATTTGCTTCTCAGAGGAATTGCCTAGTGGTCAAAGCGTTGGCTCGTCACGCCGAAGACCCGGGTTCGAATCCCCACATGGGTACATTGTGTGAAGCCCATTTCTGGTGTCCCCCGCCATGATGTTGCTGGAATATTGCTGAAAGCGGCGTAAAACCAAACTCAGTCAGTCAGTCTCAGAGGAATTTCTATGATAGTCATGTTAATGATTGCCTCTGTGTGTGTGTGTGTGTGTGCATGTGCGTGTGTGCATGTGCGTGTGCATGTCTGTTTCTCTCCTCTTTTATCCAACATAAAACTTTAGAACTGCTTCTTCACATGTTATAATATGCATATTACGAGGAATCCAAGTAGCACTACGAAAGGCTTTACCATAGATTCGTATATTTGTAATCATCATCACGACTAATTTTCTCTGAGCACATCATCCCAGCATACTCATTGTGATTGTGTATAAAGCCAGTATTGATGTCACCTTGCCCACCAGACTACTGTCTGTCTCGTTACTCTGCTCTATTGCAGGTTATATATGCACTGTATGGCACAATGTGTAAACCTGCACGCTCCCAGGATGCTGTGTCCATGTTTACATTATAGTCTGTATCTAAGCATTAAAAGCTCATAACACTGGATTCATATCATATTGCAACTTATAAACATTGCCCTGCACAGTGTTGACATCCATATGCCATATTACAGTGTAATGCAGGGTGTGATTTTTCTTTTCTTTTGGTCTCCCTTGCATCTTGTGCAGGCTCCAGTTAACATCTGATAAACTGAGTTCTCCAAATGCTTCATGGGTGGAAATATGATTTAGTGTTAAAATTGCTAGCTGCATTTACACTTCAGCATCGGTATGACAGGTTTGGCAACCCATGCTTGTGTGAGAGGGATCACATGTGTAGGCCAAATAAAAAATATGTTGCGGTTCGATTACACCTCTTTTAGGAAGGATTATTTTAACATTTTTTACAATAAAGTACAAACTAATAACACATTTATCAATGTGTAATTACTTTCTCTATCAGAATGAGCCATCATGTCTCTATCATAATGGTTCCGTCGGTTCCAGGAAAAAGCAACGGTATCCAAAAGCTTATTTTATTCATACTGCTTTAAAAATAGGGTCATCACCAGATTTCAATGTTTGGGTGGGTAATCGGAACCACAACATTTTTTCTTTTATGCCTAATTCGATGTTCATGATGTCAATCAACATCACTACAAATGTAATTATATTTCTGTTTGTTTATATGTAGTATTCTTGGTATATTTGAAGATAGTGATGTTTACTAATACAGTTAAGTTGCCCAAACTGATTTTAACCTGCACCATGGAAGTGTTGTCAATGAAAAGTCACACCCTGCAATGGCGTCCTGATACTCATGTGTTGAAGCTTGTACATTGCATATATGAACATTATATAGTATTTGCACATATACTGTACTGGACAGTGTATAAGTACATATATCATCATGCCCAGTGTGAAAGGGCCTATGC